GGGGGGGGGGGGGGGGGGGGGGGGAGGGGGAGGGAGGGAGGGAGGAAGGAAAGGGGGGGAGAGAGGGGGGAGGGAAGATTTCTGACACTCCCTGCCAGCTTCTCACAAGCAAAGTCAGTGGGGAAGCCGGCAGCAAGTCATAAGTCGCTCACACTCCCGCTGTTTTTTTGCCCTTGGTCATTCTGTTTCTTGGTTTAGGTAAGGAAATATCTCTGAAACAATGACCCAATGGGTCACGGGTTGGCTAGTTTGAGACTGAAATCTTAACGTACAACCCCTTCATAGTATGCTAGAGCTGATTTTGAACCTTTGCACAGCTATTGATGTGCACATATTCTTCCTTTTAAAACGAGGACCTGCCCTTCTTTCTCCTTCCTGCCATTACTGCAAAGTGTGTTAATGGAACAGCATGAGGTATCTTCAACAACTATGGTAGGAAAATGGAAGGACACAAAAAGACGCCTAGACACCCATTCCTTTCTCACTTCAATGAAGAATTTTATCGCCAGTGACCATAGTCATTCACATTAAAGTCTTAATTATTTTACCTTTTGATAAGCCCACCTCATTAAGCACTTACTACAATTTGTCTATGTGATACTGTCATGAAGTTAATTCAGACTGAGAGCAAGAAAGAGAATGTGTTGGAAAATCTACAACAAATTAGTATCAATCCAAGCAAAGTTTATAACGTGAACATGCATATACATATTTTTTTAATTATGAAGAGTAATTATTGCATTCCTGTAACAGTAATGCATTTCAGTATGATTACCATATTTTAAAAACTAGCTTGTCCGTATGAAAGCCTGTTCTGCACATGCCTTATGCTTCTCGCTTGTTCAGGAAATATTAACACCTAAGTGTTTTGCCTGGGAATTTTTGATTCTGAAAGTTACTGACACTAATGCCTACACAAACAGCTATAGAAAATGGCACTGATTTTTAATTAGATGTAGAGCAGCTTTAGCAACATCTTCTTTAGAAGAACTGGCATCAAGGATTTGACATGCTGGATTTTCCATTCTTCTGTAAGACTCTTCAACTCTGTTAAAAAATAGGTAGCATTAGAAAATGAAGAAATACTTAGCATACATATTAGGAGCCAACAGCAAAACTTTCAGTGTAGCATAGTTCAAAAACGATGAATTGTGGCTTAAATACTGCACTGGCAGGGTTCACACAGCCATTAATCCAAAGCGAAGCAAACTGATATGTGAACCCAGTTTGTCCAAGAACAAGGAAGGGTTTTTATTAGGGCTACGAAAAGCTTCAATTTTAAGCTTTGATCTGAAAGTGAGTTAAATTGTCTCCTTTGAACTGAATGCATCAGATCGAATCAGTTAACTTCAAATCAATTCAAAGGTTTCATGAACTTTTGCATGTATGCACACACACATTTATTAAAATGAATCTTTGAATCAGAGCTCGGCTGATTCACAAACCCTTAGCCTTTGTGTTTCATATCTTCGGAGTATGTTATGGAACCCAAGATTTCAGACTCCAGCTTCAATTACTATGGAGCACAATTACACCTAAAAGCACAGAGTCTTATCTGACTAAACCTCTTACTATTTGCAGCTAGTCTACCTGGTAGTTCAGGACACCTGACGCAAGGCAGCAGAGCCTGCAAAGTGCAACGTCACACACGTACCCCAAATTTCTAAAGGTCTTATCGTTCACCAAAACCAGCATGTAACTCTCTTCCTCATAATTTTCCATAATTAATTTTCCCATAATTAATTAATTCCCATCACACCTATTCCTTATCATAAACAGACAGAGCAAGGTTTTCATGGTTGTGCCAATAAGGAAGATATTTCTTATTGTATTTTAGTACATACTTTTGACGGAAGGAATCATTTGCTTCCAAATCAACCTCTTCTTTTGTTTTCTCCGTCCCACGTCCCTGCAGCCTCCGGACTCTTTCTTCGGGACTAACAGTTAACAGCAAGACAATGTCTGGGCTCAGAAGGTCATCAGGCCAGCGATACACCAGATGATGAGGCGGAGGGAGATTTTGCACTTTCCCAGTTATTTCAGTTGCAATTGAGTATGCTGCAGTGCTGTGCCAATATCTATCCAAACAAAGGCATTCATGTGACTTTCAAACCGAGGTACCAATCATTCTCTACTTCTAGCACAATCAGCTTTTGCATGTAAAATGAACTGTGAAGACAACTCTTCAGTCACAGGGAAGGGTCCTTTCTCTTATGAAACATCATCTTCAAGGACCAAAACACAAGCCTTCTCCGCCACGGCCCCAATTCTCTGGAACAGCATTCCAAAGATCAGATGAGCTCCCAGGCTGCTGGTCTTTCAGAAAGCCAATAAAACCTAGTTTTCTGGAGTGCCTTGGGAACAGATTTGCAACGGGGGGCCCTCCTGCTATGTTGTGGCTGTTACTTGGGACACTGATATTTTAATGTTGTATTTTGGTAAGCTGCCTTGAGCCCTGTTGGATAGACCAGTACGTAAATGTTAACGCGCATATAAATATTTTCTTTCATTTGATTCTGAATGGTTTTAAGGAATTTAAACCCAAGTGTTGCTCACTGTCTCTTCACAAGGACCTTGTGATACAGATCAGGTCAAGCAAAGTGATTTTCTCAAGGCACAAACTAAGCCTTGGAGCTCTGTGAGGACTTGGGTGACCCCGCAGCTTTGCCTTAACATTTTGTCAGAAAGTAACAGAGGTAGTTATACAGGTACTTCTGTTCAGACAGCAGCATGAACACCAGCCCTAAACTCAATGTGATACAAGAATATAATCCATAAGCATTCAGTTTTTAAACTCTTAAAAAGTTTCTCTGAGATTTTAAAAAAATCCATTTTCCTTCTACTATGAAAAATTATATAAATATAATGCAGTATGTTTATGTATTTATACATATATATACCCACACACATACATACACATACATACGCATACAACATATATACACACACACATATTCATATTGCATTACATATAGATCAGAATTAGTCATTCTAAGTGAGCAAGACTGAAGAATAAATTGATTTAAGTCCTCTAGTATCTGTTACTGTATTTATCTAGTCACTCCCAAACTCTCCAGGCAGTTCATAAACAAATACAGTGGTACCTCGGGTTAC